TGACAACTGTCAGGGACTTGGTCTGGTTTTCAAACGTAAGTGTTCACAAAGGGTAAATACAAATACATATATAGCAATCAGATATGAGTTGATTATTGCATTGTCTCGAGATAAGAAACAAAATTATTAACTTGGGATCTCGCAATAACAGCATTATAAACAAATTGCCAGCACAGCAGTTATCAGCATGATGACACGCCCCTCTCAGTTGATACCACGCCCCCCACGTTAGATCAGGGTCAAAAGTCTGAACTGAAAAAAAACGATCTGAACTGAAAAAAAGATTTGAATCTGAAAATATAAAATCTGAAACTGAAAAACATAAGAACTCAAATATCAAAATATATATGAAAGTGAAAAATGAAAAAAAAAATGTATTTGAAAAAATTCCAGAACTGAATCAAAATTATATTCAACCCAAAAAAACTTTTCATTCACTTATTTTTATTTTGAATACATTGCTGTATTTTTCAATGTTCAAGACCACAACTTGAACTTTCAGGTTCAAATTTTTTTTTCAAATGAACAAAACTTTTGACCTGGATTTAGCTCCATATGTTCCGGTTTAACGTTAATGAATGACCGTGTGAACTGAACCGGAACACGGGGGGGATCGCGATAATGACGAACGTTAACAGTCAATAAAGTTTTGCATGCAGTGGATGTTAACTTAACCCAGCAAGTCTGAACGGTAACGGAACATAACATAACTTTAACGGAGGGAAATGAAGACGATGTAGACAGCTTAACGCTGATTGGCCAAGACTCGACACATCAAAGATGTTTTATTGCGAAGATCACGTCATCACCTTTTCTCCTCGTCTGACTCCAATCTGAGAAACGCTGGCTGGCCAGTTGACCCCCCCCCCCCCCCCCAAAAAAAAACCTCTACGAATCTACACAATTCACGTGGATGACATATTTTTGATTCAAAACGGTGAATTTCACCGAAAAGTGACAAGTTTGCAGGTATGGTAACCCTGTTCTTTTAATTTGAGAGCATAACTTATTGATTTCACCTCAGATTTTGTAATTTTCTCCCTCAAAACTCTGTCCTCACACTCAAATAGCCCCTGCTTGCACTCAGGTATATTATTGCTTGGACATATTTCCTGTGCTCCAGCGTCAGCTCTTCTCATCCCACTCAGGCTGATTCTATGTTTTCGTGAAACATCTGCTCTCATTGTTTTTCTGCAACAACCCTGTCAAAATTCCCCAACCAATAGAATGTCAAACTTTAAATGTGCATCAAGCTAGCATGAGCTAAGACTACAATAGAGCACTTTCAACATAAGTCTGTTCAGTTGAGGCTTGGATGGGAACTACAAGACCAAATCATAGCTACAGCTGGGTAGATAGTTTAATGTGGGCCAACCATGGATGTAGTAAATACAAGGGGCAGGCCGTAGTGTTCACAGCCTCAGTTTTAGCTAGTGTTAGAAGGCTAATGGCTCGCTCTTTGTGTGTAGCTCTGAACAAGAAATGGTTGATTCACGGCATCCTTGTCAACATACCGCAAAATAAAAAAGGTTGTATCAAGTAATTGTAGCCGGTGTAGTTATTATAGTAAAAGAAAAAGTATAGGTGCACGTCTACTGTCATTTTATTATAAACCTTTTTCAAAAAACAAGGGAAGTGCATAAGAAAGCCTTGGAGGTCCAGGTTAAAGAGTAACTGCCCGTCTAAGAAGCTCTAAGAAAAAAAACGAACGCACCCGCAACGAGGCAGGGATCAATTCAATGGTCAACACTAAAGCTGGAAATCGGGGGGCTACTCTATGGAATAGGCATCTCGGCTTAAAGAGACGCAGCTCATCTGGGAAGCTTTCCCTTTGGGCTCTTCGGAGGATGAGGATCTCCACTTTCTGGTTATGTGCGGCCGTGGGGCTGTTGTGCTGGTCTGCCAGCCCGTGAAATGCCAGTGCAGTAACTTCGATAAGCTCCCTCCAGGTGTTACACTTTTCAGCATCTGGAACTTGAGGCTCCACTGCTGAGGATGTGAGTCCCCAGAAGCTCGACATCCGGAGTTACAATACTTTGTTCTCGGCAGGAGGGAGTCAATCAGGTTCAGGCCCTTTAACTGGTATGAGCAGTTAAATACAATGCAGTCCCTCCCATTGTGGCCTACCATGTGGTGCGGAATGTACCACGATTCTCCATCTTGGGTGAGCACACTGGATTCTATAGCTTTAGCACTGAGCCTAAATGGACTAGCTTCTATATCTCTGCGTTGTAAGCGGTGGTCTACTCGGGATCCTTGGCCCTCTATACTGCAAAGGCTGGGTATAACTGCTTCTAGTGACATGGAAGTCACCGTCTTACGAAGTAGAGGTGTGGCATGGCACTCAATCCACATCCATGCATGTAGTCTTTGTAGTAGGAGCTAGACTGTGGAGGATGATGTAGAGCAGGGGTATTCAATTAAAATTCCAAAAGGTCCAGATTGAGAAAATGTCCTCGGGTAAAGGTCCGGAACATTACAATAACTTGCGCTATTTAGTGCATATATATATATATATTGAAGTAGCCTAGTAGTAGCAACGTATCTGTGTAGTCAACAACTGTCAAATCAAATAAAGAAAGTACACATCAATTATATTATAACAATTATTATTCTCAAATTTAACTGGATGGATTATAAATAATACATAGGAATACATAAATAAATGTTCTCATTTCAAGTAAAATAATGGCTGGATTAAAGAACAACTGACATAACAGAAAGCTTTTGAAGAATGTGCATCTTAAAATAAAGTAATTCATTTTAGAAAAATGTAATTTCACTGAATTGTCCTGCAGCTTTAAATTCAGTTCATTCAGGGTGAAGTGAAAAAGCCACAATATTATATTTTTCTCATCTTCTAACAAGAGAAATGTTTGTGCATGAACTTTTTGTGTGGTTATTAAACCACTTGTTTCAGCTCTATCCTCTCTGTCATCATCATTGTTGGACAGTGAAATAATAAGTTAGGATTCTGATCATATTGGGCTCTTAGGTTTATTTTCTGTGTCTTCATTTCAGATGTGAGTGGGTACGTTTGCTCAAAAGAGTTGTGCTTTGTCTCGTAGTGGCGCTTCATATTACCGCTTTTAATAATCGTCACGGTCTCTGAACATGTGAGACCTACTGGTTTTAAACTGTCCGTGGGAAGAACTAACCTGAAAGAGTCTGTTCATTCTTGGTTAAAGACTCTCTCTGGTCTCGCGGACCACTTTTCTCTCGTCATGTGGAATAACTTCTCTGACTCATGTAATTATTCTCCTAGTCTTCGTTCTTTTTCCTCGTCTCTCCCGTGTGTGTATCTCACTCGATTCAGGAAACTTGTCAGAATACCCATATTTGATTGGCTGAGCTGCATCACGTGATGTGATTTGCACCGCTGAAAAAGTACCGTAAAGGCTGAAAAAGCTGCGCCGGTTAAAATAGAAGCGCTCCGACAAAATTGAATAATTCTCAATTATCTGTAGGTCCTGGGTCCGGATACAATGGCGTCTGGGTCCGGATCCGGACCGCGGTTCACCTATTGGGGACCCCTGATGTAGAGGCTCCTCATACCGTGTGTCCGTATGGGGTAGGCCCACCTGAAATGGAAAAATCCCTATAAAGAGGCAGAGCACTCTTGGCAGCTGGTCTGCTCTGGATTGCAGCACTGGACGTTGTGTTGAACCTGATTCCCTGGAAGTCGTGCTTCACCTTGTCTAGGAGGTCGACCACATTGTTCTTCTGCGACTCTTCAGACTCGGGCCAGGGTGGTGGTGGTTCAGGCCAGGGTGGTGGTGGTTCAGGCCACTCCTCTTCCTCATTATCTTCATCAGTCAGCTGAGGGCATGACATGGACAGGCGGCAGAAAGTAGTTGGGCCACTCACCTAGAAAAGACTGTTGGTTTAGGGGCCTTATAAGAGTGGGACTGACTGGCTTTGCTTTCTTGAGGCTGTCTACAGTCTCCACAAGCATTCTCATGTCTTCTTAGAGTGAGTGAACCTGTTCAAAGTCTGTTAAAAGATGGCAAGCTGAGATTTGCAAAGCCGCATGTTATCCTCCCTTATCATCTCCAACTCCTGGTAATAGCCACAGTGCTCTTCATACTCTAGCTCACACCGTGGTGAGTAAGGGGTGGTCGGATAAAGAGTGAGAGAAATCATCTTGACAAAACAAAAGGAAGATCAGTTCAACTGATGGAAAAAAGTTAAATTCAGATCTGTTATTATTATTATAGCGCCAAAACAAAGAAAAAACATAAAGTAAAAAGAAATCAGTCAGTCATTCATTCTCTGAATCCATTCCAGGCTTTACTGCTGAGTTGCTGATGAATAACAAGATTCTGTAAACCACTCAGTAGAGTGGATATTGAGCGATTGGAGGATGACTGTCAGTGGAGGATATTTTGAAGGGTTTGATGGGATTAAATAACCTAACTGTGTTTTTACCACACGTATGATCATGCTGCCCTGACTGATTTCTCTCCTGCTCTTTGCTTTCATCCTCTGAATGAAACTGGATGACGGATAAGGGAAGGGGATTGAAGTGAATATATGTCCGGCTTCAAGACAGAGGGGTGCCTGGTTGAACCTGAGCAATTCCCATGGCTGTAACGTCATACATCGAAATGGCCTGGTCATTGCTCGTCTGCTCTGTCCATTGCAGATGGACAAACCTTAGTGTAAGTCTAAAGGCCCAAACCCACTAAAAGTGTCTGACACGCGCGTTTTGAAGTACACCTATTGTTTTAAACGGACAAATATTCACCAAAAGCTTTATGAGGTGCGTCAAACTACTCTGGTGCCTCTCCTCTGACATAGTTTCAATTTTGGAGCGTCACATGAGGGACCCATCCACCAAAACCTGTTTTTTCTGCAGCTACACTATGTAAAATGATACATGTTTATTTAGCCAGAATGAAATAAAAGTTCTCACTGTTCAACAGGAACCCTCTCGTGAGTTACTACAGTGTGTACCATTTCATGACATTTGAAGGATTCACACGTGTGTGAGGATGTACCTGACACCTTCCGTTAACACACAGGTCAGCCTCATATGGTCCACAGGGCGTCCCATCCATCACTCTGTCAGCCATCAGGACCGGGACATCTCGACCCACAGGGCTGCAAAATAACACACACGGCTTCTCTGCTCATGCACACACACACACGGCCCCACATAGACAGCAACACAAAATCATGTAAGGCACAAAAACAAACAAGACTCATTTCCATTCAATGCTATTTTATATGTAATAAACCCAAGGGAGGATGTCCTCCCATGGGCTTGTTACCAATATATAATATTCACATCGTATTGGCAGCATCCCGTTCCGGGTGAGCAGAGTGCAGCAGCACTTTAGTCCTGCCGTGGGTCCAGCAGAGCCCACGTTATCATTCTTTCCCAGCGGCGTGCTGCCATGGTTAAAAATGCAATGTGGACCTGTGTCAACCCCTTCTGCCAGTGAGAGTAAATACAAAAACACTGTTGACATGTGCATATCCAAGGTAAAATAATGGTTCACTCAAACAAACAATAGTTTTTAGTTGTACCCCTATCCAAAATCCATCCTGCCGATATAATTTGACATATAAACTTCCAATCAAGAATATCTGGGCCAATACAATGCAGTATCTCTAAACTAGAACCCATCCCTTATAGTCTGCTGCTGGTCAATGGTCAGGCTTTAATGCTAGAGAAACAAAATAGATGGCAAGCAAAATGAAAGGACCCTTTTGAAAAAAACAAACACCTGTGGATAAAAGAGCCACAACAGTAATTGAAGGTAGGTATTATGCATGGCTGCTCCTCTCGGCCCAGTCCCTACTGGTTGTCCATCACAAACCGGTAAATTAAGTTCTGTGTGCGTCATTCAAATTTCACCATCTGAATAGTCAAACCTACACTAGCACATAGTTCATGCTACATGTGCTTTTTGTACACTAACTGGTGTCTCACACAGCCAGGAGCTCCTTATTGCTCCCAAAATGTCGGCGTAAATTTCCAAATGGCATTATTTGGATAAGCTAATTACATATTGGTAAACTAAAGAGTTACTTTCTTCCTTGGAAAATTATTATATTTATGAAAAGAATTTCATCAAAGGATGATGAAGCCGGCAACGCTTAGCAAAGCAATCACACTGCCTCATCAAATGGAAGTAAGACAGCACAAAAATATGCAATGCGGAAGTGCCCTATAGTTCAGGCAAAAAAATAAGGTGAATACAGTGGTCAAGTACTTCCTACTTCCAAGTTTCTCACTGGCACCCTGGTGTACTTTGTCACAAACGTTGTCTGTTTGTGACAAAGTGCAAAGACAGAGAGAAGTTTGAATCATTTGTATTCATGGCTAGTAATTTAATTTGTCACAGAGTAGGAGCTTTTGTGTCACTCTTTCTAACTCTGTATCTGGATCGCCTTCTCTTTCTTGTGGTGTACTATAACCTTCAGGTAAGCGTCAAAATACATGGTTTAAGATGACATTATAGGAGGGATAGTCATTTTCCATAGCTTAAATGAGTACTCCACTGATTTAGCTATGCATTCCAATGGAAGCGCATACCATGCTAGAATTTTCACTAATTATCATTACTGTAATTATTACAGTAGGAGACAATTTATTTTCCCTAAATCAGCCAACCCGGACAAACTTGGACTGATTGACAAGTTTTAAAGTTTAGAGTGTGTAAGGGCTTAGAACATTATGATGGTCATTCTCTTGCTCAACTTTTGGGTTGACACCATTTGTACCATTCAAATTTGGTGCAAAATTGGCCATGGAAGTTTCCTGAAAAAAGAAAATGTAAATTCTGTTGAAACAGCTTGATTAGAATTTATTGATTTTGTGTTTAAAGCGTTACAATTTATTTTCTAATACGCTACTGTATTTATCTATTGCTTGACTGCCAATTTCTGTTTGTTGAATGGTTAGGGAGGATGTCCTCCCCTGGAGCAACATTTTACTTGGTTTGGCCTATAAAAGATTAGCATGAAAAAAAAAGGATCACATTGGATAAGAGGTCCCGCCCTAAGGGAGGACTGCAGGAGGCTGTCCTTCTCTGCCACCACTTCATATATACATAAAATGGTAAGTGGCCTGGCGACTGGACGGGGCAGGGAAACAAGCTCAGGCAGGCGGACTGGGGTGTTAGACCCCAAGCAGATGGTCTGGGGAAGGGCAGAGTGGCGCAGGGAACCTCAGGCCACAGAGATGGAACCAGACTGGCTGGGACGCCCGACTCAGGAACCGGTTCAGCGACTGGCGGGGCGACGATCGTAGAACTGGAGACTCTGGGCTGCTAGGTAGCACAGAGTCATGGTTGCTGGACAGCCCAGTCTCTGTAGCGCAGGGCAGCTTAGGGGATCTATGTCTTCCACTCTTCTGGGCGACTATGGCTAAGTGGAGAGCAGGGTCGTCCTTCAATCAGAGGATCGGCGGTTTGATCCCCGGCTCCGCTAGTCGCATGTCGATGTGTCCTTGAGCAAGACACTTAACCCCAAAATTGCTCCCATAGCTGTGCCTACGGTGTATGAATGATGACAAGTAGTGTGAAAGCTTTGAGTGGTCTAGACTAGAAAAACACTATACAGGTACAGTCCATTTACCATTCCTTCTTGGGACTCCAACTCCTAGAAACCTCGGTGTGACAGCTAGAAGAGTACCCCAGAAAGGGGAGTGTTCATAGTCCCCACGGTCAGGATCAGACAGGTGGCTAGCATGCTGGAAACTATGCAACTGGAGTGCTGGCTGGATGCTTCAAGGACCTTCCAGGCCAGCACGTTCCCAGTAAGGTGTTTCATGTTTGAGCTAGTTCAAGACACCTGTGTAGACTGGCGAACCCAAGGCGGATCGAGCAGAGTGGAGGCTGGCTGCTGGCAAGTCAGGGTGAAGGCTGATGGCTAGCAGGCTAGAGGAGCAGACATGGAAGATTTAGAGGTTTACGGGAACCGGTTCAGCCTCCCGTGAATGACATCCAGATGGAGAACAAAGTGACTCACCCAAGGCTTCTCCTTAAAATATTGATGCTGAAACACGATCTCTTTCAGGAGTGGAGAATTCCGATGCATTTGAGCAGCAATGAACTCCAAAACCATTTTCAAGAACAGTGTTGCTCAGCTGGGTCCATTTTTTGGTCAGAATCAGAATCAGAAATCATTTATTGCCAATGTATGTTGCACAGACAAGGAATTTGTCATGGCGGGTGGTGCACAACATTCAACAATCAGCAACAATCAACACAGTGCAAGAAATAGAAACATATTACAATTTACAATAGAATATAAAAGAATATAAAATAAAATAAAATAAAATAAAGTAAAATAAAGTGCACAACAAACAGATAACAGTATTATAAACAAGTATGATGAAGTGTGATGTAAAGTGACAAGTGTGTTTAAATAAAGAAACAGAGAAGGGATGTGCAGGGGAGTGACCGGTAAGAAATTGTCCTGGGGATGTCAGAGTCAGTGGGGGTCCCGGGCTTTGTTGATGAGCCCGACTGCCGATGGGAAGAAACTGTTAATGTGGTGAGGTCTTGGTCCTGATGGGCCGCAGCCTCCTGCCAGATGGAAGGGGCAAAAACAGTTTATGTCCAGGGTGAGAGGGGTCAGCTACAATCTTTCTTGCTCGCTTCAGGGTCCTTGAAGCGAACAAGTCCTGGAGGGATGGCAGATTGCAGCCAATCACTCTCCCAGCAGAGCGAATGATGCCCTGCAGTCTGCCTTTGTCCTTGGCTGTAGCTGCAGCGTACCAGACCGTGATGGAGGAGCAGAGGATGGACTCAATGATGGCTGTGTAGAAGTGCACCATCATTGTCTTTGGCAGGTTGAATTTCTTCAGCTGCCTCAGGAAGTACATCCTCTGCTGGGCCTTCTTGGTGATGGAGCTGATGTTAAGCTCCCACTTGAGGTCCTGGGTTATGATGGAGCCGAGGAAACGGAAGGACTCCACAGCATCAACGGGGGAGTCACACAGGGTGATGGGGGCAGGTGGGGCTACGTTCTTCCTGAAATCCACAACCATCTCCACTGTCTTTAGAGCGTTGAGCTCCAAGTTGTTGAGACTGCACCAGGTCAACAGATGGTCTCCCACCTGTAGGTGGACTCATCCCAACCAGAGATGAGTCCAATGAGTGTGGTGTCATCCTTAAACTTCAGGAGCTTGACAGACTGGTGACTGGAGGTGCAGCTGTTGGTGTACAGGGAGAAGAGAAGAGGGGAAAGAACGCAGTCTTGGGGGAAACCGGTGCTGATGTTCCAGGAGGCTGAGACGTGCTTTCCCAGCTTTATGTGCTGCTTCTTGTCAGACAGGAAGTCTGTGATCCACCTGCAGGTGGAGTCGGGCACGTGCAGCTGAGAGAGCTTTTCATGCAGCAGAGACGGGATGATGGTGTTGAAGGCAGACCTGAAGTCCACAAACAGGATCCTGGTGTAGGTTCCTGGGGAGTCCAGATGCTGGATGATGAAGTGAAGGGCCATGTTGACTGCGTCGTCTACAGACCTGTTAGCTCTGTAGGCGAACTGCAGGGGGTCCAGGAGTGGGTCAGTGAGGGTTTTTAAGTGGGACAGGACCAGGCGTTCAAAAGACTTCATGACCACAGTGGTCAGGGTGACTGGCCTGTAGTCGTTAAGTCCTGTGATCCTAGTTTTTTTGGGGACAGGGATAATGGTGGAGGCCTTGAAGCAGGCTGGTATGTGGCATGTCTCCAGGGAGGTGTTGAAGATGTCTGTAAACACCGGAGACAGCTGATCAGCACAATGCTTCAGGATGGAAGGGGAGACAGAGTCCGGGCCGGCTGCTTTATGGGGGGTTCTGTTTTTTATAGAGAGTCGTCAGTGGGGAGGGGGGTGGGGGGACGATGGGATGGGTGATACAGAGGCATGAGCCCCTGCTGAGCTGGGGGAGGGGGGCCTGGGGCTGGCTGATGGAGCCATGGGGGGTGGGGTCAGGACTGTCCCTTTGTCTTTCAAATCTGCAGTAGAACTCGTTCAGCTTGTCTGCCAGGCATAGGTTGTTCATGGAGTGGGGAGTTCTAGGCTTATAGTTGGTGATCTGTCTGAGACCTCTCCAGACAGAAGCAGAGTCACTTGCTGAGATCTGGTGTTGCAGTTTCTCAGAGTACAGTTGTTTAGCATCTCTCACCACCTTACTAAACCTGTATTTTGCCTCTTTATACTTGTCCCCACTCCTAAATGCCTGATCATTTGTGCAGCCTTAGCTGTCTGAGTTCTGCTGTAAACCAGGGTTTGTCGTTATTATAACTCGTGTCGTCACAGCCTCTGTGTACTCATCCAGACTGTTGGCAGCAGTCCTGAAAACATCCCAGTCTGTACAGTCTAAACACACCCGAAGATCCTCCATAGCTTCACTGGTCCACTGCTTAAATTTCCTCACCACAGGTTTACAGAGCTTTAATTCTGCCTGTATGCAGGAATCAGATGGAACATGACGTGGTCAGAGAGTCCCAGTGCAGCACGAGGGACGACGTGATAGGCCCCGCTGATTGTGGTGTAACAGTGGTCAAAAATGTTCTCCTCTCTGGTTGAGCATTTTTCAATCTCCCTAGATACTGTCTGTATCTAGTAGTGGTGTAACGGATCATGGATCGATCCGTGATCCATTCGGATCAGCCCTCACGGTTCGGATCACTCGTGAACCGCGGATCAATTGAGTATTTTTTTTTTTTTTTTTTTTTTACAGTTTAATCATCACAGTGTGTAATAAAGTTCTACTGCTGGTGCTGTTCCTTTTCAAGTAACAAGTCCCCGAATATCAATGCAGAGTGTCAGTGAACAGATATAAAGCAGTAGTGTGTTCACGTGAACGGAGCAGGTTAAAAGCATTTAACGGCAGAAGTCATGGCGAGCGGAGGAACTTGAGAAGCCCCCGGCGTCATTTAAGTCGCAAGTTTGGGCGAATTTTGTCTTCCCTGTAACTTATAATGACGGATAAGGGTGGTGGACGAAACCGTTACGGTATGTAGGCATTATTTAAAGAGAAAGACACACGACAACGGCAATACATCGGCATGTCCACACATATGAAGAGACACCATCCCGTCTGTCAGCGACTGGGGACATTCCGGTGTGGAAAACAAAGGACTTCAAAATCTGGTTAAAATGCTTGAGAACACTCTACGAAATCCACTCACGCACCCACTTCAGTGTGAAGCTTGTTCCAGGCCTCTATGAAAAGGAAAAGACTGTGACCGCTTTCACCACGACGGAGTGGAGTTTGCTGCAGGTGTGTGTCTGTGAGAGTCACACAGACACACACCTGGGGCAGGTGCTGACAGAAGCAGTAGAGTGGAAGCTAGACAGGCCCAATAGTAATATCCCAGTCACCACAGAAAGGTCTACCCTCACTCCAGACAATGGAGATATTCTCATCTTTTTGAAAATGATGTCACAGTAATGGTAAACATTATTGTGTATTTGAATGACATACCAGTTCAGTTCAGTCTAAACAGTGGAAGCTAGCTCACTGGCTGTTTCTTTCTTTCAATATTGATTAAAGGACGAGGGTATCAACATACCTCATGTTGCACTTAAACTTAACAGAATTGAGTATATTTGAATGTTTTATTTATATATTTCATTTTGTTCCAAATTGGACATCTTCAATATTTTTGTTTTTATGTAAGACTATAGCCAAAAGTTATTTTCTTTAAATGTTCTTGAAGTTCTTTAATTAATAAATGGAAAGCAAAGTTATATTTGTCTCCTCCCCTTTTCTTTGTTGATCCGAAAAATTATCCGAACCGTGACTCACGAACCGTGATCCGAACCTAACCGTGAGGTTTGTGATCCGTTGCACCCCTAGTATCTAGGGAGTTCATGGCTGAGGTTTCCTTTGTTAAAGTCACGAAGGACAATAACTAAAGAGTCCGGGTTGGTCCGCTCCACACGCAGTATCTGTTCAGCGAGTGTCCGCTGTGCTTCCTGCATGTTGCCCTGCGGTGGCATGTAAACACCGACCAGTATGAATGAACAGTTTACAGTTTATGATAAAAGATTCCAGATCAGGAGAACAGTGCTGTAGAATCACTGTCACATCGTTGCACCAGCCACTGTTGGTATAGCAACAGATTCCTCCACCCTTTGATTTGCCGAAGACCTCCATGTCGCGATCCGGTCTGAACAGCTGGAAGCCAGCCAACTGGAACGCAGAGTCTGTTAATGTTCCACAGAGCCAGGTCTCAGTAAAACACAAAACGGAGGATGAAGAAATGTCTGTCTTTCTCCACCAGTAGCTGAAGTTCGTCCAGTTTGTTGCACAGTGAGCAAACATTGGAGAGAAATATGCCCGGCAGCGGTGTACGAGATCCACATGTGCGGAGACGCACAAGCGCTCCAGAACGTTTCCCTCTCAGACGGTGTTTCACTGCATGCGTTAAGGTGAGAGCACCTTTGACTAGAATGTCGAGTAATTCCACAGAAGTTAAGTTGAAAGTAAGTCCGCTGGAGTTGTTCTGCTGATGTTTATGAGCTCATCTCTTGTGAAAGAGCTCCGGGTATCGCAGCAGAAAACAGTAATTACAACAAAAACAACACAAAACATTGAGCACCAACACACCGAGGCAGCATGGCGCCATCTTGAGATCAACAATTGCGACAGTTCATACATACATAGGATTGGACCCAAACACACAACAGACAGATGAGGCAGCAGGCAGTGTTCAATGCTTTAATGCTAAAAAACTTTAGCTGAACTTAAAACAGGGAGTCCAAAAACAGGCAAGTAATGAATCCAAATGAAGAGCTGAATCACTCGAAACAGGAGCAAGGCAAGTACACAGGAAACAAGGAATGATGACGAACCGACAATGAAACAGAGGAAACACACTGATTAAATACCCAAGGAACAAATTAAATGATGAAACACAGGTGTGGTTAGTAAAACAAGACCTCACAAATGGAAATTCAATTTTAAAATAAAACAGGAAACCGACTAAACAGAAACCCAAGACCATGACCTTTGACCAGGTCTAGCAAAAAATGATTACGCTGGCCCCTGATTCAGTTCAGACTTTGATTTAATTTCTTACTCCAAACTCTAAACTTGAGGTGAATAGGCCGTCGGGACTGTACCTCTTTAAATTCGGAACAGACTCCCACTGGACCGCAGATCTATGCAAACGGGACACCTTTGAACCAAAAGCAACTTGAGCCTTTGCTTAGTTTTTTCTTTTTCTTTTCTTCTTCTATCCATTTCCATGCTCCATATTGCCTATTATTCAATTAAATTCTATTTGTATAGCCCAATATCACACATTTTCCTCAGAAGGCTTTACAATCCGTCCAGCATTCGATATTCTGTCGATGAGGAATTAGCTGATGAGCAATTGGGCTTATGAGAAGAGCACTTGTCAATATATTTGACAAGTATCGATTGTATACATTTATTGATTATTCTTACTTGGAGACATAATGAAAAGTCTTTCATGTGGGTAAAACCAGTCTCTCAAATCCTCTAAAGTAGGTTTCATAAGACTTGAGTGTGCCATGTGACCCAAAATGTTGCTTAAATTACACTTGTCCCTAAACTAATGGTACAATTTCACATGGATGTTTCATCTAAAAATATGAAGTGGTTTTCATGATGTGGGTGTCATTTATATGTGTTGATTGTGGTATCTTTCTTCGTAAGCACTGAGAGAGTGGCATCCTCAAATGGGGGTAGTTTTTTAATGTGTTACCAAAGTATGCCAAGCGAGTATCTATGTATGTGTGTCTCACCATCATTAATAATAGCAGTCAGCAAGCTGCCCTTCTTCTTGCTGGCGTGTCGGTCGTAGGACAAACACTGCAGGTCTCTGAAGCTCGTTGCCTCCTTGGGACATGGAGGACGTTCACAGGCCTTGTGCTCCACATTGGCCTTCGGACAGTGTCGCCCACCAGGACCAGGCCTGCACACACACACACACACACAGTATAGTATGAACAGTTAGAACTGAAGGAGATTGAGGCTATCAAGTAGGGGTGGACGATATGACCTAAAATGTACAATTATTTTTTCAGTTTTTTGCGGTGGCGGTATTATGTCACGGTATTACAAAATTAAAAATGATAGTCTACTCCAAATTTGATTGTTATTGGCGATGTAAGGTAACATATCTTAAGAAAGAAGAAAAACTGATGTTTATTGGCCCCAAAAAATGCCGGATTCACTCTGGATGTGGAAGCTCAAAATGTGGAATAAGTACGTATTATAAAAACCACAGTGACAAACAGCAGTGACACAAGACAGCAGATAGCGCTTCGCCAAAAATCGCGGTGCTTCGAGGCAGTTTAGTTGAAGGGTTTTGAATGCATCTTGGCAGCTTGGCACTCAGCTGGCAGTTCTGTAAGGTTGAGGAAAGTCTTGCTGTGGCAGGGACAAATGCGTTGGACTTGCCACAATGAAATGCAGTTGCAGCCATTTGCTACACAAGAAAAACATTACAAAGCAAAACAAAAACAGTAGTGCATTCCTGTAGTACATTTTTCATCAGGAGGAATGTAAACAGCTTCAACAAAACAATTCTCTGGGCAGACCATATGGTGGCATCTTAATATTAAAAATTTGACATCAGTAAAACTTTGACTGTTTGAGTGTCCCGATGGAGTCCTGCGTCACACCTCCTGTCTAGTGCAGTTTGATCCTCAATGCAACGATGGAGCCAGGTCTCTGTAAAGATGTGGGCTCAACAGTTAGATCTTCAGTGGCTGGAATAGTCTTAGGTCCTAGCTGGGTTAGCTTAGCTTCTATTGTGGCTCTCATCATCTCGACTCAGCTTTCAGTGGCGTTTGATCCAGCAGGTCTTGCTGGGTGGGCGGCTGTGGACAGTGATCATCTCAAGGTCTGCACACCACAAATTGATCTATTTGCCACACTTCCTTCTCCGATGCTGATGAGTGTTTTCGTTAATATGACATAAGTGCTCCAATAAATATGTCAAGTTCAATTTAAAGGTAATCACACATGACTGTAAAATGCAGTATGGTAAAGTGTATGGGTATGCTCAAAGTACAATCTGTCTCTAAATCAGGGGTATCAAACTCAAGGCCCGCCACGTCATTTTATGTGGCCCGCGAATCTGCCAGCAAAAAAAAATGTAAAAGTTAAAAAAAAGTTTAAAAAAATGTAAAAGTTAGACTTGATAATAAAAATATCCCCATAGTCGAAATTATGAGATAGAAAGTCGGAGTTATGAGCTAGAAAGTCAAAAGGATGAGATTGAAAGTTATAATTATGAGATAGAAAGTCAAAAGGATGAGATTGAAAGTTATAATTATGAGATAGAAAGTCAAAATGATGATATAGAAATTAAAAATTATGAGATACAAAGTCAAAATGATGATAGAAAGTCAAAATTATGAGATAGAAAGTCAAAATTATGAGATAGAAAGTCAAAATTATGAGATAGAAATTCAAAATTATGAGATAGAAAGTCGAAGTTATGAGATAGAGAGTCATAATTATGATATAGAAAGTAAAAATTATGAGATAGAAAGTCATAAGTATGAGATAGAAAGTCAAAATTATGAGATAGAAAGTCATAATTATGAGATAGAAAGTCAAAATTATGAGATAGAAAGTCATAATTATGAGACAGAAAGTCAAAATGATGAGATAGAAAGTCAAAATGATGATAGAAAGTCAAAATGATGAGATAGAAAGTCAAAATTATGAGATAGAAAGTCATAATTATGAGATAGAAAGTCAAAATTATGAGATAGAAAGTCAAAATTATGAGATAGAAAGTCAAAATTATGATAGAAAGTCAAAATGATGAGGCAGAAAGTCAAAATTATGAGATACTTAAACACAACAGTCACAGAAGCAGCTCTTTGGCTGGTTACTGCACATTTGACATGGAAATGGATTGAGAGTACATTGAAGACTACTTTAAATGTGGCTTTACAACAGATAAAATACTTCACGTGGGATTGTGCAAATGCACCCTTGAAAGGATTTTAAGCTTTGAACAGTTATTGTAATAACTTGTTTGATATTTGTCTGCTATTTTCTTTCATAGTTTGATATTTGATAGAGTAATGTGGGTTTCTTAACCCTAAATTAAAAGGATTTAAGTTATAATAACAGAAATGTGCTGAAATATATTTTTACATTTATATAACTGCATGTACAATATTTTTGTGTATCAAATGCAGAGACAGTTATTTACCAATGTGTTAGGAGTAGTTACATTTACACCGTCTTACATTTACAACCGGCCCTTTGAGGGCGACCGTGATGCTGATGTGGCCCAGAGTGAAAATGAGTTTGACACCCCTGCTCTAAGTCATACTATTCAGCGCCATGGGTTATCAAGCATCAAGCAGCAGGTGATATGACCACAATCAGATGAGGAGCTCCATTCTGCTCTGTGGATTTACGCCTACTGCCAAGATATTAGAATTTGCTGTATTTCTTTTTATCTTAATGTACTGTACAGACACTGACTGTGAATTCTCTGTCCTATATGGGATTCATCAAACGCACACTCATCAAAATCAATAATAAAATAAATTTAGCTGCATTATTTTGTGCATGTTTTGTTTCTCCTGTGTGGAATAGCATTTCAGCACAGTAGGGGCCTAATAGATACATGTAGAAATTAAATTGGTAAGAAACTACCCCGTTTTTTTCACTTGTTGTGTGTGTGCTATCATATAAGTTAGAAATGTCCGGTGTTAACACATCAACATCATCTATTCTTGAGCCATATGTAATAATACTGCATTCAAACTCCACAAAATGTAGTACACCTGCATTTTGTAATAATTTGCGGCATTTCGTTATAGTTGACTGTTCTAAAATACAAAAAAGCTTTTTATCATCTTACAAATATAGCCAAACTTAGGGTGTTATGTCAAAAAGTCATTCACGCTTTGATTTCTGACAGGGTTGACAACTGCAATGGTGTCTTGACAGGGCTCTCCAAAAAGAGCATCAAGAAGCTTTAGCTTTAGCTTCAAAATACAGCTACACTCTCTACACTGGCATCCTGTCAGCCACAGAATTGAATATAAGGCAATGCTTATTAATCGTCAATACATAAGGTAGGACCAAAATACTTTAAAGATATGTTTAAAAATGAATGAATGGATGAATTTTGGATCGTTATGATTAATTCTGGAATGCATACAATAAACATTGTTAAATGTTATAATGATTTCTTAATGTAGAATGGTTAGTTATTACATAATGCATGTATTGTTGCATTTTCATGAAAAAAGTGCAACTCCTAGATTTAGTAATAACCACTGCAATATGTTCGAATTTATTACTAAATGCTTTGAAATTCATTACATATTGCTTTCAAGCGGTGTATTAAAAAATGTGGGGTCCATTATATAATGACGTGAATTATATTTTGTCATGGCATTATATAATGTGGTGTTATTACATACTGTGTTGTTACAAGCTTTAATTTAATGTTTTATTCATTTAAAGGGAAATGTTGCCGCATGTTCATGCCACTACCCCAAGAGAGGGAGTTCAAGTACCTCGGGTCTTGTTCATGAGTGAGAATAACATAAAGCGGGAGATAGACAGGCAGCTCAGTCTGGCGTCAGCAGTAATGCTGGCGTTGTACCGGACTTTTGTGGTAAAGAGGGAGCTGACCTCGAAGGCAGGGCTTTTAATTTGCCAGTCCATCTATGGTCATGAGTTTTGGTAGTTACCAAAAGAATGAGACTATGGATAAAAGCGAGTGAGAAGAGCTTCCTTTGCAGGGTGGCTGGGCTCAGCCTTATAGATAGTCTGAGGAGCTCAGACATCCGGAGGGAGCTCGGAGTAGAGCCGCTGCTGGGTCAGCTGAAGTTGTTCAACATCTGATCAGGACTTCCTCGACGCCTTCATTTAAAGGTTTTCCAGGCAAGAACTGGTTATAAGCCCAAGGGTAGACCCAGAACACACTGGAGGCATTGTTTGTCTCATCTCTCCTGACGAGACAAACAATGCTCCTGAGCCTCAGGAGCAGGAAAATGTTGGGAGTTGCCCAGACTGCTGCCCCAGCAACCCCGGCCCCAGATAAGCAGAAAGATAATGGATGGATGGATGTGTATGGCAATGTGGTATGTTGAAAGCACACAAAAAACACAGACAAACAGACAGTTATAGGTGACATACGGAGGGTTGTCACATTTCCTCTGTCTGAAATGGACTCCAGTACCACAGGTCCTGCTGCACATGCTCCACTGGCTCCATGGACTCCAGTCTCCATCCACATGTTGAGGGATGGGAGTCTTACTCACACACTTGCCTGCCCTGCACCACTGACACACACAGAGACACACACAGAGATTAAAAGGATTTTAAATAGACAAGTAGACACTCATATTCTGCATCTTGGGAAGTCAACAGGCATCCTCTAAGACACAGGTGTCAAACTCAAGGCCCGTGGGCCGAATCCGGCCCGCCACGTCATTTTATGTGGCCCGCGAATCCGCCACCAAAAAAAAAAAGTTACATTTTTTTTTTAATTTTGGAAAAGAAATTTAAAGTTAGACTTGGAAATAAAAGTATCCCCATGGTTGAAATTATGAGATAGAAAGTTGAAATTCTGAGATAGCATGTTGTCTGTGTACCGACATTAAAACTATCACAACAGGTGGACAGGAGAGGGAACAGCCCATAAAGCGGTTTTCCAACAAGTGATTGAGTTGAAAAAGATTGACAAATAATCCCAAAATGTCCACGAAGAGAAAAATTGATGCAGAGGGAAGAAAATGTAATTTAAGATGGGAAAGCGAATACATATCTGTGCTTCAAGGAGAAAAACGGGTCTGTCTTCTGTGTTATGATGCGTGTCGGTGAAGAAGGAATACAATTCACGTCGGCATTTTGACACCAAACACGGAGCTAAATTTAGCCTCCAAGAAAAACATAAAATTGTCCAAGAATTAAAAGGCAGAATGCAATCACAGCAGAATATATTTACAAAAGCTACAGCCCAGTGCATGCCAAAGGTATGTGAGCAGGTGAGCTCCGATCAGATACAGACTTTTACAAATGTCAGTTTGTGAAGAAACACCATCGCAGATCGAGTTCAGGAACTAGCAGCAATCTAACAACACAGCTAGCTAAGAGACGAGCAGGTACTCGTCTTCTTCATTAGCTGTTGATGAAAGCACAGACAACACGGACACAGAGCATCTATCCATGTTTGTAAGACCCGATCTCAGTGAGGAGCTCTTGGATGTAGCTGCCATGCGCGGGACGACGACGGGGACATTAATGATGCAGAGGTGACAAAAATAGCTTTGAACAAAGTCAATGTAATAACTTGTGTTTGATGATATTTGTCTTTGTTATTTTCTTTAAAAGTTTGATCTTTGATAGAGTAATGTGGGTTTCCTAACCCTAAATTAAAATGATTTATGTTATAATAACAGAAATGTGCTTAAATATCATTTTACATTTATATAACTGCATATACAATATTTTTACACTTGAATAAACAATAATCAAATGCAGAGAGAGTTATTTAACAATATGTTAGGAGTAGTTACAGTTATACAGTCTTACAGTTACAACCGGCCCTTTGAGGGAAACCATGATGCTGATGTGGCCCGGAGTGAAAATGAGTTTGACACCCGTGCTCTAAGAGAAGCTGTTGATTGAGAGGTGAAGAGTATTTGTTCATGGAAGCAGTGTGTGAAAATAGAATCCCTCACATCCCCTGTTTTCATTGCTGTTACTACTTGTTAACACCTCCCCCAAAAAAAGGAAAAAAAGAAAAGAAAAATAGAAGCAGTGTGTGGGTGAGACCTACTTTATCTGCACCACACTCTGTTCCATCCAGAGGAGGATCCAGTTTGGTCTTGCAGGCTGCATCTCCCTCCACTAAACACCACAGGCCAGCGCACATCAGGTGCTGAGAGACACACACGCAGACACACACGCACGCACGCACACACACACACACACACACACACAGCTTTGTATTGAGTAGTCTTGCATCATAACACTATTTTATATATCTTTTTTATTACTACTATGGAGGCAACGATAAAGATAAGACGACATCTCATGTGTCAAATCATGTTCGCAGCATTTCAGTTCAGGGAAATTTTCCCTCTGTGGACAATAAAGTACATTGTGTCATATTGTATATTTGTCGATGCTACATCGAGGCTTTTGTCATACGGAAGTGGGCGTGGTTTCATCTATCAGCCCCTTTTTTGCATTTTTCAAAAATGATGCAGTGGATGGACTTAGTTTCAGAACTGGGGGTGAAGTTACACTTTAAATGAGGGAAAATAAAGACCCATCTCTTCTACAAGTCTTTTTCAAATAAAAGCTTGTTTTACTCTGCTTACTTTCTTAAGAAAGCTCTGGGGGTCTTACATACAAAACAATGCGTAGGATCCACACTAAATGTTTGTGTAAATGCACGTACGCCAAAACATATTCTGATTCATAAAACCTTGCGTAATGCCTGCCATTGAGCAATTTCCTTTTATATATTCCAAATCAACCTGTAAATGTGCACACCTGAATCAGCCTCACATCCCGCCCTCCACACCCCAACATTCAACCATAAATGGTCAATGCAAAGCACCTTATGAATGTTGATGCATAGAAATGAGCTGCTGATCAGTGGGTCTTTACTGATATGAAAGACCAAGAAAAGGACTTTCTTTAGACGGAAGAAATGGTTGTGGATGAGGTGGTCTGTGGACACTCGTTCCGTCCTATTTCTTCCATTGGCGCAGTCCTAACAGTTCAAAATGATCCATCATGCAGCATCACACACTACAAGTGTCACCGCAGTATTTACTGTATATGTTTACAGCAATCAGGCTGATTGATTCCAAAATGATCATGACAATCAGTGGTATCCACCAACCTGCTCATCATTTAAAAAAAGAAAGTTTAAAATGTGAAAACAATTTAATTATTTATTCACTTATGATTCATACTGAAAATGATAATATGGAGTTATTGTGCGAGAGCTGTCATTAACTTTGTTTCCACACTTTGCTAATTTGCACAATCCTTACGTGCAGGTAGTGACGATTTGAGGTAACTGGAGGAGGCAGAGAGTGACAGTCACCATGGTAACTCCAGTGAGCTCTGATACTTGCATCGGATAGCTTTTTTCAGTTTGTCTGTGTACGGCAGTGGTGGGCCGTCAGGGCCAGCTAAGCCTTCTCTGCTGGCCTAAACAGAATCACAAAGTTATAGCTATTTTATAATTTGATATCCATCCATCCATCCATTTTCCTCCGCTTATCCGGGGTCGGGTCGCGGTGGCAGCAGGCCGACCCAGACCTCCCTCTCACCGGCAACATGTTCCAGTTCATTCTGGGGGATCCCGAGACTTTCCCAGGCCAGCTGGGAGATGTAATCTCTCCAGCGTGTTCTGGGTCTTCCCTGGGGTCTCTTCCCAGTTGGACATGCCTGGAAAACCTCCAGTGGGAGGCGTCCAGGAGGCATCCTAATTAGATGCCCGAACCACCTCAGCTGACTCCTTTCGACGCGAAGGAGTAGCGACTCAACTCCAAGTTCCCTCCTGATGACCGAGCTCCTTACCCTATCTCTAAGGCTGAGCCCGGCCACCCTACGGAAGAAACTCATTTCGGCCGCTTGTAGCCGCGACCTTGTCCTTTCGGTCACGACCCAGAGTTCGTGACCATAGGTGAGGGTAGGAACGTAGACCGAGTGGTAAATTGAGAGCTTTGCCTTCCGGCTCAGCTCCCTCTTCACCAAGACGGTCCGGTGCAGCGCCTGCTTTACTGCTGCAGCTGCACCGATCCGCCTGTCGATCTCCCGCTCCATCTTAACCTCACTCGTGAACAAGACCCCGAGATACTTAAACTCCTTCGCTTGAGGTAGGCACTCCGTCCCCACCTGGAGGGAGCAATCCACCGGTTTCCGGCAGAGAACCATGGCCTCAGATTTGGAGGTGCTAACTCTCATCCCCGCCGCTTCACACTCGGCTGCAAACCGCCCCAGTGAATGCTGGAGGTCACGATCCAAGAAGGCTAACAGGACCACATCATCTGCAAATAGCAGAGAGGCGATCCCGAGACCCCCCAAAACTGACGTTCTCCGCCCCCAGGCTGCGCCTAGATATCCTGTCCATGAAAATCACGAACAGGACCGGTGACAAAGGGCAGCCCTGGCGGAGGCCAACACCCACCAGGAACGTGTCTGACTTATTGCAGAGAATGCGGACACAGCATAATTTTATATTTTTTCATAAATACACTACATGGATTCTAATTATTTTTCCCATTATCTTATTTTCTCATTGCACAGCTACTGTCTTCCTCAGTTGCTCTGCTTCCAGTGCAGCTTGTTTTAAGTAGAGCTTTTATCCAATCAGATTTCACCCCTATGTCTCTAGGTAAGAAGAGAGGCCCGAGGTCCTCTAGGTAGACTTTGCAGTCTAAGTAAATGGGGACAATATTGTTGATTGTCATAGTCTTCAACCAATCAGAGTTTTAGTTTGACATGTCAGATGTATTCTTTGACATGCCAGAGCTTCTGGGTGGCCTAGCCGAGTAAGTCAGCATTAACGTGTGGCGTGATTGGTCAGTGGGCAAGCATGACTGTTGTGAAACTAAAGTTAGCTAGCAGAACTTAGTTAGCTCTTACTTAGTAGTAAGAGTTCAAGTTGAAAGTTATGACATTGACATGACATTTTTAGCATTTTTCTTGGTGTAGATTCTTTTTTTATTTTTACCTAGCTTTGTTTTTTTAACACTCAATGGCTGAAGGATTACATTTAAAAAATGTGAGGGGCTTTTGACTTGCACTGGCATGCTTGGTGTTCAGGTGGCGACGTAAATAAGAGGGCTTCAGACAGCTGTTAGCCAGAACCTCGATGCACTGTCTCCTAAAAATTACATTCCCCAAAACTAAAATGCATTCTCAAATACCACCAAAACACCCCGCCTGTCTCTAGCAGAAACGCGCTCATCCAGGCCGAGCAACGAGGAACATTACGCGGCTACAATACCTCCACAAAGGCCCGCGTGTAAAATCCGGGAGTAACCGTGACTCTATTCAGGGTTAGGTTTGGGTGGGGACGTGGCTTCCTAGTGGAAGTTATGGTTAGGGTTAGATGGATACAAATGAATAAAATATACCTCCATAACACCCCGCCACTCTCGGCTCATACCTCCCCAGCAACGAGGCACATCACCCGGCCACAATACCTCCAGAATGTCCCCCGGGTGAAATCCGGGACTTGGTTTTATGGTTCCGAGTGGCAGGCGCTCACCCGTTGGCGCCAGACGCGAGGTCTCCAGCCGCCCCCGCCGTGAGGCACCCCATCGTCAGGTCTGTCAGCCCTCGGAACAGGCCGCGGGTCAACAACTTGTGGGTGGCGGGGGTAGAGGCGAGGCGGATCACAGAAAAATAATAAAGACTAGGGTATGCAAAGATATGTTGATGAGAAACTTATTTGTAATACGTCAAACACAAACGTAATCAGGGAGAAAATACGTTTATGGTCAAACATAATTGAGAATGCATTTTAGTTTTGGGGGAACGTAATTTTTAGGAGACAGGACTGCACCATTAGACCACCATTACATTTTTCCTCTCGAGCACCCCCTAGAGGCAGCTCACGCACCCCCAGCGACCTGCTGGTCCTTGCACTCTTTAACAATAGTTAAAATTATTTTACAGATGATGCTAATTTTATCAGCACTTCCAATGCTGACCACCGGTTTAGGAAGTCCAGCCCTCTACTCAGCACTGAGGAGAGCTAACAGTGCTGATAAAATAATAAGATTTGATTTGAGGTTTGAGTTGGTTTATATATTTTACAATTGAAATTATTCAAGTCACAAGCAGTCGACACATATCATAAACCATTCAACAACATAAGATGCTGGAACATACTAAATAAAGGACCACCCTCAGAGGGAGAGCAGCGTGGTAATTGACATAATCATGATATCACATGTGACAGCTTTGGGGAGCACTACATTAGAAGCTTGAACAAAAGACTGAATGAAGACCGGACACCAGACCAAAACTGCTCACAGCATCCAGTGGGAAGAGGTCAAAGGTCATCAACCAGGAGTCCCTCCCACATTCAGGATATTTTAGGTTTAATTATTTTTTTTTATGTATGATAACCTTTTTTTTCTAGAGAAGCAAATATGCCCCTGTCTTGTGTTTGGAGTAATTCCACTCTTACACATTCTAAACATCAATGGAGCTCCAGTTGTCAGGGTGAGTTGGATATACAATGAATATGTTATTTAAACTGAATATCATGTGATGTTTCTAGGACAAGCAAAGTGTGTTGTACCTCCATATCACTGCAAAAACTGGCATTGGTTCCAAACAGGATCTGGCACTGTCCATCCACACTGTAGTGCATGCCTGGCAGCTTGGGAGGAAGGCGGATCTGGTAACGGCTCCTGGGGTCTGTGTGCAGTAGGCATGCACTGGCTTTGGACCTGTTTAAAAGAACAGGTTTCATAATGTGCAGTGAACTGTTTTATTTCCAAGAGTTTTCTTTACATTGTCAAAGCACAAACGCACAAACGCGCACGCGCACACACACACACACACACACACACACACACACACACACACATTTAGAGTGGGAAAGATTTTAACAATGTTAGTTGTTATTTTTAAGATGCAAATGAGCATTAATGGTGACATTAAAGAATATACAGTATGAGCCAAAGAGTCCATTTTAAGTGGGATATATATCTGCTATTACTGTAGCTTCCTAGAGCTGATGAGGATTATTGGCCAGCTGAAAGCATTTATCATTCTCTGCAAAAATGCTGTTCGCACATTAGGATACAGTCCAAAATGACTGGACCATTAGGCAAGGTAGGCAACCCCCAACTTCTATAGATATACTGATGTGTGATATACAGTGTAGCCTGCAATAATTTACAAAATCCAGTGTTCCAATCTTGGGGTTATTTTACAAAGTATCAAACATTAGGAGATAAACTCCCAAAGGTAACATTTTTGTTGCAGAAAACAAAACAGTTTTCAATACAAAAAAGGAAAAAGGACAGGAAAACTATGGTGTTCGTCCTAGTGGTGGAAAGAGTGAATAGATCCAAAGTAAAAGTAGCTTTACTATTATAATAAATAATCCATTACAAGAAGAAGTCATGCCATCAAAATTTGACTTTGGTAAAAGTACAGCGATATTATCATTTAAATGTCCCGTATTACTTCAGTACTCATTACAATTCATGTTTATTTGGTAAGGACAAATACACATACATAGAGAGCTGCACAACAATTATCCAATGCAATGTATCACAGCATTTTTAGCTACTGCAAAGACATACAGTCTACGGTTCTATTTCATCCTTACTGACCGCCAGAGGCAGTGCTTAACACTGGATATCTTCTGTCTCGCGCATGCACAGGTCGAATATTTATATCAACAAAGTCACCTGTGACCTCGGATGACCCCCATCGTCTATAAGTTCCGGTATCATCCTGAGTTCAGCCCTTTTTCATCTTCTCGCTACGCAGGTTAGCTACCATGGTAGCATAAACTGAAACAAAGATGTGTCGCCGTTCGGACCATCGAGCCCCGGACTGGTGGACCCTCCTATCATCGGTCATCACCAGTCTGATAAGGGCCACCTAAATCGTGAAGCTCTAGCTAATTGAGTGGCGTGCTAACGAGAGTGTAGAATATACGCTGTCGGCCCGCCCTTCACAGTGAGCAGAGTGTCCTGCTCAGGCTAACTTCATGAGATGCTAGTTCGACTAGATCGACATTAGCATTATGTCCACTGGTTTTGTAACATTACGGCTATCACAGTTAGAGTGTTCCCGCTCAGGCAAACTTGATGAGATGCTAGTTCGACATTAGCATTATGTCCACTGATGTTGTAACATTAGGGCTATCACAGTTAGCAGAGTGTTCACGCTCAGGCAAACTTGGTGAGAGACTAGCTCGACTAGATCGACATTGGCATTGTGTCCATTGCGATTTCATTTTTACATCTGACATATTTCACAGTTATCAGTGTTCTCACTGAGGCTAACTTGGTGAGATGCTAGCTAGATGAAGCTGACACTGGGACTGTGTCCATCGACTTTGTAACCTTACGGCTGTCACAGTTAACAGAGCGTCCCCGCTCAGGCTAACTCAGTGGGAAGCTAGCTAGACAAAGCTGATACTGGGGCTGTGTCCATCAACTTTGTAGCATTACAACTATCACAGTTAGCAGAGTGTCAGGCTAACTCGGTGAATGCTAGTTATACTAAATCAACATTGATGTTGTGTCCATTGATGCTTTTTACGCATTACGGCTGTCGCAGCTGGCAGTGTCCTCACTCAGGCTAACCTGGTGGGACACTAACAAGACTAAGTTAATACTGGGATTGTGTCCATTGATTTTATAACATTACGGCTATCACAGTTAGCTGAGTGTCTTCGCTCAGGCTAACTGGTGGGACACCACTATTTACAGCGACGGTCCTAGTGAAGAGTGTCCTTGCTCCCCTCTCACTGTAAGGACTGTTTTTTGGTCTGTTTCCACAGTGGCAGAGTGCTCTTGCTCAGGCTAACTGGTGGGTCACCAATATCTGCAGCAAATATCTTAGTGAAGAGTGTCCTCGCTCCCCTCTCACTGTAAGGACTGTTTTTTTGGCCTGCTTCCACAGTGGCAGAGTGCTCTCGCTCAAGCTAACTGGTGGGACACCAATATCCGCAGCGACTGTCCAAGTGAAGAGAGTGTCCGGAAAGATCACTCTCCTCTGACTGCCCCCTGCCTGTTCTCTCAACATTCAGCGGAGCGCTCTTTGGAATTCCGCATCAACTAGTGGGACAAGGGTTCCTCCAGAATCGCGGCCATGTTAAACTCTCCCGGCTGTAGGACCTGTATAGCTCCTCTTCAGCCTGAGGACGGCCCTGACCTCTTGCCTCGAGCATCTGAGGGAGGGCCTCTCGGAGAACCCAGGCAGGACCTGCGGCATCACGCCTTGAGCAGTAAGGTCTGCTAGGCTGGCCAACCCACTGCCCCGACTGGGTCTCCCTGACGGAGAGGACCGGTCCTCTGGGGAAGATGCCCTGGCTCGCACGTGGCCAGAGGATCTTCTTTATGCCTTTCCACCATTCCCTCTGATCTTGCTAACGCTTGTCAGAGTTCTTCACCAACAGGAGGGATCTCCTGTCGCAACTAGATGGTCGGATTTGGTATCCCAATCCCTGCTGCCTTCAACTATGGGTCTGGCCATAGGAGGGCCCGACCGGATGCTGAGTGGCTGCATAGAACCAGTCAGACTGACTATTCTGAATGCCAGCGCGCAATCTACCTGCCTGCAGTACAAAAACAGGTGGAAGCTGTTCTTGGACTGGTGTGCGGCTCAGAACAAGGTCCCAGTACAGTGCCCCGTGCCTGCTGTACTGAGTTTCTACAGTCCCTCCTAGATAAGGGCCGGTCTCCCTCTACCCTTGGAGTATACGTGGCCGCTATTTCGGGGCAGCATACTAAGGTCGACAATGACACAGGAGAGAGCCACAGACTGGTGTCCCTCTTCCTAAAAAAGGGGCTCTGCGGTTGCGTCCCCTGAGCGCCCTCAAGGCCCCTGCATGGGACCTACCCTTGGTACTGGACACCTTATGCTTGTCTCCTTTTGAACCCCTGGCACAGGCGGAGCCGAGATGGCTATCAGCCAAAATGTTTTTTCTCCTTGCCGTCAATTCAGCTCAACGTGGGGGCGAGCTGCATGCCCTGTCGGTGAAAGAATCATGTCTGAGGTGGAACTCAGATGACTTGGGTATCACTTTGTGGCCTAATGCAGCATTTCTCTCCAAGGGTGTTAATACGTTCACATATCAACCAGCCTATCCAGCTGGCAAAGTTGACCCCCCCCCCCCATCGGGAGAGGAGAGGTCAAGGCTGCTGTGCCCAGTGCGGGCCCTCAGAGCTTATGTGGAAGCCACCACCTGCATACGGCAGTCGGAGCAGCTCTTTGTCAGTTATGGTGAGCCTAAGAAGGGCTGTGCTCCTTCTAAAACAGTGCCTATCCCACTGGATAGTGGAGGCCATTGCCTATACATACAAGGCGAGCGACTGCGCTCGGCCATCCGGGGTGAAGGGTCACTCTACCAAGAGTGTCTCCACATCAAGGGCAGCCCTGAGAGGTGTGCCTGTGGAGGATATATGTGCTGCGGCCTCATGGGCATCACCAAGCACATTCACCAAACACTACAGAGTTAACGTTGCCACCCATCACCCACTGGGGAGGGTTCTTTGGCCAATTTTCTCTGCCGGAGCTATACGAGTTAGTTACTGTGCTTCCTTGTGACTCTGTTGATATAAGTCATCCAGTGTTAAGCACTGCCTCTGGCGGTCAGTAAGGATGAAATAGAACGAAAGTTACGAATGTAACTACGGTTCTATGAATCCTGGATGACCGCCAGAGTTCTTGGTCACTCGGAATCCCGTGAACTCGCGAGAAGATTCCATAGGACTGAACTCAGGATGACACCGGAACTTATAGACGACGGGGGTCATCCGAGGTCACAGGTGACTTTGTTGATATAAATATTCGACCTGCACATGCGAGAGACAGAAGATATCCAGTGTTAAGCACTGCCTCTGGCGGTCATCCAGGATTCATAGAACCGTAGTTACATTTGTAACTTTCGTTTTCCACCACTGCGTCTTTGGGCTGTGGCAAGCAAACTAAATCACTGTTAAATGAGTCAGAGACTGTGGAGGCCGATTAGTCGGCGTGATGACGTTTTGTATTCCCTTTTAGGCACTTGTTAGCAATCACCTTTTTAAAGATATGTAAAAGCTTCTAAATTCACCAGAGGGGTATTTACTGATGTATTTTATATACGTTGAAATCTCTTCAGCTTGTGTTAACATCAGACCTTATTTCAGGCTTCTAACCAAAACCACTTTGAGACAAGGGAACCAAAAGTGCAAAAACGGTGACTAATTTCTGTGTTTTAGGACTCATTACCGCAGTCACTCAAGAGCATGTACGATGCGAGAGGTCGAAGGTGCTGAGGGCACAGTCCGGCTCAGAGACTGAGACAAAACAGGGAGACAACGAGCTGGCTGCTAAAAAGAAGCAATTTATTTTTAGCAAATATAAGTAAACCAATTTAAACAGCACTCAAACATCTTCCTCCCAGAGCGCGAGGCTGCCAACTGAAGAGGGTATTTAAGGCAGATGTGGCTCATCCAGCTGCGGAGCTGGAGCCTTAGTCCACACCTAAGAGAGATGGCGCAAAGGAGGGGGAGGTATCCTCTGTGGCTGTTCCTGACTACCTCCTGTCTGTTTCTGGCAGCGACCTGGTGGGAGAACAGAGAGCTGATCCCTCTTTGAGCCAGCAGATGGAGAGGGTTCCAACCATTGATGATGGGAAGAGTGTCACAAATGGTTACTTGCTTGTGGTGGTGTGTCAGAGATCCGTAGAGTTTGTATTTTTATGACCACAAAAAATGAG